AACCAATCACGAAAAAGACTAACAGTTGTATGTAAAACTTTTTGCTTTACATTTTTAACATTTTACATTAGCAAAATTGCGACGTAACATTTAAATAGTTTTTATAGCAACTAAAAATAATAATTTTTGTTCTTAGTTATTAGTTTTTTCTTTTATTTTCTTACTGTACCTTCAACATTGTATACAACTACATAACAAATAATAGTTAACATAAAAAGATGTTCAAAATTTTTTGCATTTAATGATAGAGAAATAAACTGTTTGATTTATAGGTATATGAAACTAAATAGTTCAGTCAAAGTGGTTATTATTCTTCCAAAGTAAGCCAGTATAACCTCTTCAAATGCCTCTATGTAACTGCTTGCGATGCCTCTGCCAAAATCTGCTTAGAATAAGTGATAAACGATAAGAAAGAAGGAAAGACTTAAAACTAAAAAAGTACCTTACAGTAATAACATTCATTCAGTTTTAGTAGATAAAAGAAGAAGAAATTGATTCTATTGGAAATTTCCTTTTCAACTACCATAGATGACAAATTACGCATCTGTTTGTTGCGAAATATCAAACTAATTAGCTCGGTATAGTTGTTTCAGGCAATTCATAAAAGTAGCTGCGAATTCTTATGAAAAGAAATTAAGAGCAAAAAAATACAAAGTTTAAAGCCTCGAGAAGTTGTCGATCTGATTCTGACATTATAAAGTTTACCGAAATATTGCGTATATCAATAACGAGCAGTGAAGAAAAATCATAAGGTTTTCTGTTTCATTCTAACCTTTTTATTGCTCTTACAAATGTAGTTACAGATTCTGACATTGAAGTTACCGGCAGACAGAATCTTCTGTAACTGCTCTTCAATCAACGCTGCAAATACCCACAAAGTTTTGCAGCCGATCCTTGAACTTTCGCAGACCGAGCCTTCAAAGGTTTGACATGGAAACTGTTGACTAAAATTATCAGTGATTACTGACAAAGAAAATTACACAGTATTGCAACTAATGTGTGTGCCTGTATGCATTAAAAGATATGTCTAAAGCAAAAGTTAATTAGCGACTAGTTCTAATTAAACAATCATCGAGTAACTAAAATTTGCACATTGATTATAGCCGATCAGCCTAAACGAGTCGAGAAAACAGAAGACGTTATCGCACAGTGGATGATACGGTTTCGTGCTTATCGGCTGCTCATTGTGCCTCAGCAGTAACCTTAACCATCCTATTTTTGTTTATTGTAATTTGACCTATATAAATCGTTATTTTTGTTATGCTCAAAATTAAATGCCATAAGCACTTGCAAACTAGAAAATGATATTTTTTAAAAGTAAATGTTCCGCATCGTTTTTTTTTTTTTTAACGCTGATAAACGTTTAATTATTCAGCTTTAAAATTTTTGATATAGTTTAACTATTTCTTCAATTACTGCAGGTATGACCAAAATGTTAACAAAACGAAAAAACAATCTGTTCTTTTGCAAATGATATGCTGTATTACGTTAATTCTCCTTTATTCTTCTAGAATTAATAAAAATCTTTTATTTCTTAAAATCAATAACTTTTTATTTTTTCTAAAGACTACT